TGAGTTGTTCAAATAAGGCTGCTACCGCAGATCTTACTTTTAATAAATAGAGACAGTAGAACATGCTATATCTGCTATCTCTAATCTCAAATCTGTTTATTCCTCTTTTTAAAAGTCACCTGGGCTGTTATGAAAGTGTTTGAGGAGCACGCGTTTATAGGAAACACACAGTAAGCAGTATCAACATGGCCCCTTTAGATAACTTCAGATGGAAACACAGGATGTGTAACCTGCTCCTCGTTCCACCCAAACTAAAAATTTTTTTTTGGGTAACTAGATGAGAATAGAGAGTGTTATGTCATGTGGCAGAGGGATACTCCCAAGTGTTATACACTATGTGGGGTGGGGGGGGGCATTGGGAGCGTTGTGTACGGACATCAAGAAACTGATAAGGAAGATTGAGGGGGTGTCAAGGAGGCGTCAACCCCCTCATCGTCCGATGAATGTACAAAACGTAGTGCGGTAAAACCCCCTTGTTTCTTTCTGGATTCGAGTACGTGGGGTCCAATACAAGAAAGATGAAAGATCTGAATCTCCAGAGCGTGTTTGTTGCTCTGGTAACGGTCCTCAAGTCCTCAGAGTCCATCTCGAGTCCCCGATCGGACCAGAACCTCAGCCAGCGCCGCTGCTGCAAGAGTGTCTTCACACCGCAGGGGCGCAGCGTCCAAACCTAAAGCCCATTTCTTTTCCTTCCCAGGTGAGCGCTTTCTTGCCTCCGGGACCGGCGGCAGGGGGGACCGGTGGCAGGGGGGGCCCGGCTTTGCCCCGACAGACATCCACAACATCCCTCAGTACTTTGTTGGCTACGCCATCAGACGGCTGAGGACCCCGCGGACCAGAAGGGGGCGAGTGCCAGATGATGCTCTTTGCCCCGCTGCCGTCCTATACTGGCCCCCCAGCAGCCGTCCCAGAAGGCCCTCCTGCCGGAACCTCTGCATCCTTCCAGCTGCAGGGGCAGAGTGGTCACCCAGAGTCCAGGTGAGACGAGGATCAGGTCTCCGCAGCAGGTGAGGGCTTT